TGTCCAGTCTCTGGATGTGTCCATCAAGGGTAGTCTTCATTTCTATGCTAATGTTTTTCATTTCTAAAATTTCCTTTAAATCGTTCTTAGGATGTCCCTCTCCCTGTTTATATCACCCATCTGTTCTTACACATTCTCTTCTTTTTCCATGAGTGCCCTTAGCATAGTAATCATATTTAAATTCCCTCTTTGGCAACTCCCAATTTAGAGCTCTGAGTCTCACTCTGATGTTTGCGTTTGCCTCTTCAAGCTGCATGTTTTTGTCTTTTGGTGTAACTTGTTAATTTTGTTTCCAAAAGCCGGATGAGCTGTACCAGATAATAGATACTGAGGTAAATGGGTTTTTCGGGTAAGTGGGCTTTATGTTCAGATAGCCCAGAGTTGAGCTGTGTTTAACATTCGCTGTTGCTGTAGGTTCCAGAAGCTTCGTATTACTCTCATAGCCTTGTTTCCGTCTCCCTGTGTCTTTCGGCGTCCCTGCAAGTTCCTCCTTAAATAGTCCTGCAGCTCCTTTAGGCAGCACCCACCACTATTATGCTGGATTCTGCGAGAACCTGGTGGAATCCCCAAATGCAAAACCCCTGAACATGTGCCCACTTCCACCTCCCCAAACAGACATGCAAGGTGGCAGCCCCAGGTGTTTCTCACTCTGCTGCTAATCTATAACCAGGCTCCCAGTTTGTCAAAATTACCAATTCGGTGTTCTGCCAGTTTATGGCTCCCGTGGCATCTGCTCCAGAGAACAGGCCAGTGTGACTTTTCTGTATTCACCTGTTCTCCTGAGGTGGCAGGTGTGGCAGTCTGACCTGCAGCCTCCATTCTTTAATAGATACAAGAAAAGTGATGGATTATCACTTTTTTTCTTGCTGTAAAGCTAGGAGAAGGTATATAAAGACAAGCTCTGTACAATTCAGTGCTGAAATGGGACGCTGTGGGACATTTTGACATGAATTATTTGATGGCACTTTTTCACCTTGGATGCTTTTTGATACTGCACCTCAAAAAAGCACAAGCACCCTGTTTTCTTATTAAATGCCGTGGGCCATGGATGCTACCTAGCGCACCACTAGCCCCAACCCTACTTTCTCCCTAGCCACCACCCCCCTTTTTTGACCCTCATTTCCAATGGGAGAGGGATTCAGGAATGCAGTCACAATTTGATGATCAAAAAGCTGAAAATAACCCTCACAAAATCATCTTGTTAAAGTGACTGCATCAGAACATGTACTGAGGAAAACACAGGTTCAAATTTAAATGTTGCAATCCAGCAAGGTTTTATTTATTTTCTTTCTTTTTCAATGCAAACATGAACCGGTTGAGATTGGAGCTTTGCCTTGTCTGTCCTCATTTCAAATCTCATTTTCTTGCCCTTAACCATTTCATCACTTGGGCCCAGCTGCTCTCCAGAACTGGAGCTCTTTATCCATCAGCAGCACAGTATTACCTGAGCCTCATCCTGGAGCAGGTGTGTGGTGTGTGTGTGGCCTTGCCCATAACCAGCAGGCTAGTCCCTTGGCATGAATTTCTCTTCCTTTTTAGTAATATAATCATAGAAATGAGTCAGACAGAGTGAGCATTTAGTATGGTACAAAACTGTGATGTTTGCCTCATATATGGCTTATCTTTTCTATTCCTCACTAATACCCTTTGAAGTCAGAAAACTATGGGTCAGAGACAATAAGTGACTTGCCCAGGGTCATGTAGCTTGCTTATGGTAAAGGCAGGATCCAACCCGAAATCTGTCTGATTTCAATTAGGTGCTTTCCCTGTCTGCTCCTCAGAGGCACAACATAGCATGTAATAAATACCACTAGTCTTCTTATCTCCAACGTGGGAACAGCTCTTTGCAAGTCTAGATGAGGCAGATTATCCGGGTATTACTACACACAGTCAGTCTTCTCTCACTAGCCCTAGCTCCCTGAGGGGAAGGACTGTCTATAATCCGTCCAGTACTGAGTGTCCAATGCAGTGGCCCTGGTAGAGCAAAATAATGCATGGGGGGAAATGAAGGAAGGAATGAAAAAGCCAATAGCTCATGAGCCTAGGGAAAGAAAGGAGGGAGGACAGAGAGGGGGGCGGAGGAGAGGAGAGCGGGAGGAAGGGGCTCACGATGATGAATGCAATAGAGACTCCTTTCCCGCATCAGACAGCCCTGGCACGTCAATAATATCATACTTTGTGCTCCGGGGAGTAAAGACCACGCTGGCCTTATTTGTCACTCAGTTACCAGCTAAATTAGCACCTGCCTGACACACAGTAAATTTCCAGAAAGCTTTTGTTCTTTCCGATGGACCTGCCAGAGGCAATCCCTTCCAGAACAGGACGTCCTGCGGCCCTGGAGAGCCGCAGCCCCTGGTCATCTCCACAGCCCAGGCCTAATGCCTCCCCCGACCCCTGCCTATCCCTCTTCCCAGAGCACATACGTATCATTACGAGTAGCGTTCTCCCCCTTTCTTTTTGTCGTCACATTTTAAAATCACTTCAGCTTTATTATACGCATCATTGCCGGTACTCTTCATACTTCACCCTCTCCCAGGGAAAAGTGCACAAACTCTAAGCCTTTGTTTGGTTTTTTAACTGATATTAGGAAATGCTGTCCAGGTAGCTGTAGGCACTGACGTTGAACGTCTCCCAGGCCCCATTCTTCACCCCACACCTCTGCCTGTTTGAATCTGCCAGTGAAGCAGAGTGCAGAGGGCCAGTGTGAGGGAGGATTCAGCCTGGTCACCTTGGGAGGGGCTTAGAGACCATCAGCCTTCAGAGAGGAGAGTTAGGAGGTGTAGTAAGCCACCCAGGGCCCCCGCAGACGGCCCCAGTGGCCTCCTGTCCCGCCCCTCGGCCAGGTGTGGCCTGGCCCTCACTCACATCGGGGCCAGGGCAGACACTGAACAGTAAATGCCACAGACGCCATATTTATTATCAGCCCTGTGCGTGGTGGTGCTGGAGGGGGGTTGTTTTATTTGGGGTTTTATATGAGAAGCTCACCATCACCCCCTTCTGGCCGACCCCTGGTAATGACCCCTAGCACAAGCTGCCACAACAGAAACTCTGGGACTCTGGGGTTTTACTGCTAACCAGCCCCCCTCCCCCCCCCACACCCCTACACACACAACACAGGAAAACCAAGTTATGGTGTGAAGGAAGACGTGGAGTGTGAAGCCCTGTGTTTTTTTTTTTTAAAAAAAAAAAGCCACAGAGCTTGGACTTTCATCATAAAGATCTTTTCACCAAAGCATAATTTTAAAAGGCTGTGAAACTTTGTGCAACGTTTGCACGGTTTAATTATGAGTTTAGAAAAGCCGAGTACAACTTTTTCACTCCAGTAAAACAAGACAGAGCTTGAACGGTGGCATAATACTTGAGCTTGCTGTGGGTTTAGACATGGGGCGAGGGGTTCTTGGCTGTCTACACAACAAGGCATGAATTGCTGTACCGCAATTCACACCCCGGAGGGCTTTATGACAATTATAAAATTGCTTTTGTTTGCTTTTTAAGTGATTAACATATTTGAGTCTTAGATATTCACTTAGCCAATGGGTGTACTAGGAGACAGGCATGTGTTAGAGAGGATGTGACCACTCTTTACTTCACGTGAGGGAAATCCTTGCAGTGACGTGGTGGGGTGGCCGTTGCGGCAGCTACTCGCTGTCACACTGTCCCCTGTGGCTGTCCCTTGTCATTGTCACGGGCACCTGTGTGCCGCCGTCTCCCGTCTTGCCAAGACGCTCCTCAGATCCTCTAAGGTTCAGACTGCAGTGCACATTCATCCCTCCTGCTGGGTTTCATAGATTCTATGTTAAATGTTTGCCCAAGATTTTTCAAACATAAAAAGGTCGGCTGTTCTAAAGAAAAGAATAGAACATGATAGATCATGCTAGGCTAGCGTGAGGGAGATGTGGGCCTCCGAGTGCCCGGTCCTGTGGGCCATGGTCACAGCGTCAACAAGAGCGAGCAGCTGGAGGAGGCCTGGAGGGCGCCGCCCTGACTATTTCACGAGTGGGAATGATTCACCTTAGCCCATGGCGCCTGCAAAGCGCCAGCCGAGGCTTTTCCTGAGGAGCTCTGCTCCTGCCAGATTCACCCCACGGCCAGGAAGCCCTCTGCTCACACCTGTGTCCACAAAGACGACGGGACACGGAAAGTCGTGTTGCACCCAAAATACATGGAAAGCTTTCTGGGGTGGACCCGTGCTTAGTGTCCATTTCCTCAACACTCTGCCCAGCATAGGGGTTTCCCCCCCTTAACTTCTGCAAGCAGTACACTGCTTTTGGTAACGAGACTCCTGGAAACGGATGCTGCAGTCCAGTGCACAAATCCTCCTTGCCTAAACCTTCTCTCCACCGAACGGCCACTTACGAAACACCTAGTCAACAGTCCGCCCTTAACAGTGACAGGGCCCCAGAGTGGATGGCCTGTGGGTGAATCCGGGACACCAGGACCACTGTGTGTGTTCGACCCGGTCATCAGGCCCCAGCCTGACGGTCAGCCTCCCAGCCACATCTGTAGAGAATTCACCAAAACAGGTGGCAGTGAAACGCTCATGGGCTGTTTGGCAAAAGGGACACAAAAACAGCCAGACGCCACGTCCCTCCCAGCCCTGGAGGGCAGACAGGCAGGGCCAGCGCCCTGGTGGTGGAGCTGGTCCAAGCTGCGGAGCTGGACCTGGGAGGCGGGCGGACGAGCTGGACACCCCCGTCCGAGCTAACACTGCCACCCCCAGCGCGCCCGGCGGCCGTGGGCGTGGTGAAAACCTGACGGGAAGAGCGAGCAGAGACGTTCGAGCATCATCTTTGAGAGTCAGACAGGGGCCACATCTCAGTGCGGGCGGGCGGGCGGGAGGGTCATCAGTCAAAAGCAGATACGTGGACTTAAATGCGGGCTGGAAACGCCGGCGAGCGGGCCACAGGCGGGCACGCCACGTCAGCCAGGCGAGTTTCGCACTGGGAGGCCGTGCTGCACCCGGCCTGCCCCCGTCTGACGGACTCCCTGACTCTCTGCAGATACGAGGCAGATCCAGCCGTCCCCGCCCTGGACCTACGACCAGTCCTACCAGTACCTGGGCCCCATCGCCTCGCCCTCGGTGCACCCCGCCACGCCCATCTCGCCCGGGCGGGCCAGCGGCATGACCACCCTCTCCGCAGAGCTTTCCAGCCGACTCTCAAGTAAGCTGCTCGGGAACATACTCCCTGAAGTCCAGGGAGCGTGCAGAGCGCCGTGGGGGGGGGGGGGGGAAGGAGGGCGTCTGCGGTCGGGTCATGCCGGGCCAAGGCAAGGCGGCCGGTCCCCGGGCCCCCCGTCAGCGCCCTGCCCCTCGGCTGACCGGGGGGTGGCGGCAGGCGAGGGCCGGCGCACCGGGCCCGGGCGGCTGGGGCCGCTCGGGTCTCTAAGGTCAGGGTGGCGGCTCACGGGGTCACAGTACAAAAGTGCCAGCGTCACCTCCAGGGCTCGGGCCACTGGTCCGTCGGGTCCGGGGTCACCGGCGCTGCCGGGGAGCCTGGGCCGGAGGCAGGCCCACCCCGACCAGCCGCCTCCAGCCGCGAGCTGCTCGCTGGTCCCGGGTCAGAGCAGCAGCGTGGAACGCTCAGCTGCGGTGGTTCGCGTAATTGCTGTTAATACGGGCTCATTAAATATTAGTCATTTAACCTATGAGACCTGTGGGCGTGGCACTCACCTTGCTCGTGGGCAGGGAAATCGGAGTCACAGAGAAAAACGCCTTTGTTAAGAGCAAAAGAAGCAACTCCCTGTTCGGGGCTTTGAAACTGGAGCTGGCCCAAGCTGTGGAGCCCGGCGGACGTGGCCGTGGGGAGCCGCGAACCGGCTTCCTGCGTGCGGGGCTGAGCTCGGCAGCCGGGGCTTGTGACAGGGCTCAGGGGGGACCGCTGGGGGGGCCGGGGGGGTGGGGGCAGCGTGTCCCGTCTGCCGCGCTAAATGCCGTGTGATCTCGCGTCATGCCACTGGCTGCCAGTGGCCCAGCGCGTCCAGGGCCGTCCCCGCCCAGCGGTGGACACGGAGGGCCACAGAGTGCCCGTGGGGCACCGTGGGGTATGCAGTGGTACCTCTGCCTCCTCCATGTCGCCAGGAGCACCCCGTCCGTGCCAGCTAGAGCTGTCTCCAGGCATTGCCAACGGTGCCCTGGGCCCAGACTGCCCTCGAGGGCCCTTGGGCGCTGTAGCCAAATAGGGGTGCCCCTCGGTTGCCCAGTTTCACGTTACTTGTGGCCACTGGCGCCACGAGCCACAGCGCCTGCTGGGCGGAGGAGCCGACGGAGCGGCCCGGGGACGCCCCCGAGCGCGTTTCTCTGGAGCTCTGTTCCTCCCTCGGGCCTGGTCTGATTCCAGAGACACTTGGCGGCTTTCACCGACTTCGGCGGCACTGCCCTGCCCACCGGCCACGGCCAGCGTCTGAATCAAGGCCTGTTTCCCTTGGAAGTGGCCGTGCTCCGCTTCTGCGGCCGGGGACTTCGCAGGCCACCACCCAGCACGGCCACCCCAGCGTCCACAGCCCCACCGGCCAGTGTGTGGACGGAGGACTGCTCCTTTAGAGGAATGAGTAACAGTCAGCGCTCCCAAAGCCCCAGGCCCAGTAACACTTCCGAAACGCCTGGGCCTCCACTGGCCCAGGTGTGAGGCGGACAAAGCCCCCTCCCATCCCAGCACCCACGATGAGCCTCCGCTGTGCCGGAGGGCGAGGGGGCCGCCCCCCGAGGGACCCAGCAGGCAGCGCAGGCCCCAAGAGGTGGCCGCTCGCAGGCTGGACACCCGGCGCAGAGGGCCAGCACCGCCTCGAGCCGGCCCCACCCCCGGCTCCGCGCCAGGCCCCACCTGGGCCGCCTCGCGCAGGGCAGGGCAGGGCCTTGCACTCTGTCTGTCTCCTTTGCTGGCAGACTCCACACCTTGTCTGGAAAGAGTTGTCATCTGGAGGTTCTCTTTTTTCTTTTTTTTTTTTTTTTTTTAAAAATTAATGTTTAGCTGCCAACCTGGGCGACAGACAGCAGGCATTAATCTGAGTCAAGCAAAAGCTCCTTTTAAGGCGGCCATTATCTGCTCGGGCTCTTTAATCCTTTGGGGGCAGCGGGAGGGGCGGCTTTCACCCACGTCAGGCCGCAGAAAGAAGACATGAGCTGTCATGGCAAATATGTGGCCCATCGGTGGGGCGACTCTTCCCACTAGCATACCTGAACGTGCTAATCCCCAGATTTCCGACTCTTTTCAAAGCTGCTTGTGACTCTCAGGGGTCCCCACCTCCACCTCTGCCCACACGCCCGCTGAATGAGGGGGCACCGGGCCCTTCAAAAGGACAAAGGAGCCGTGGCCCCCAGTGGGTGAATTGGAGCTGACCCGTGGGGCCAGGCAGGGGGTGTCAGACTGGGCAGAAACACAAAAGCAAGTATGCGAGCAGGTTATTTGAGTCTGGGTCCCTGGCGAGGCCGGAGCCGCTTGGTGGCAGGAACACATGCAGAGCGGCTACTGCCGGGAGGGACGGTCTCTGGAGACGCGGTCCGTGCCGGGTCCTCGGACGAGAAGCCCTGGCCCTGCTGAGCCGCCAGGTGCCCGGAGACCATCCCGAGGAGTCCTCCTCGGGCCTGGGACAAAGCGGGGCTCCCGGACTCCAGTCCCCAGGCCCAGCACCACCGAGCAGCCTGGGACACAAGGGCCAAGCGTGTCCAGACACGGCCGTGGGGCAGGGTGGCCTTTCATTCATCTTCCAGTGGATTCACCTTTTTTGTCTCAGGGCAAATGAAGCGAGGAGCACGGGCGGGTCGGTGCCCCGCCCCCGGAGACAGCGTGGGGTGCCTTTGCCCGGCGCCGCTTCTCTCTGGACTGGGGCTCCCAGCCCTGCGCACTCTCCGACGGGCACAGACCCCGCAGAACAAGGGCGCTGGCTTCGGGGGCCCCCGGGGCGGCCCTCGAGCCCCACCCAGTCCCCTTACAGCTTCTTCGCTGCCCACACGTCCAACTGGGACTGGCGGTGAAAGCTTAGAGCGCGTCTGTGGAGAGGCAGGTGCCTGCTGTCTTCATTGACGCAGAAGTCGGCACAGCTTCGGCTTGTGGCTGTAAACTGTGATCACCTCTGATGAGTACACCCCCCTCGGGGCCGGCACCCCAGCTTTAGAGCGATTTTTAAAAATGCATTAAGAGCAATAAAAAAAAAAAAAGCCACTGGAGGTGGGAGGTGGGAGGGAGGGAGAAAGGGGGAAATGGAGAAAGGGCGAAGGAAGGAGACAGAGAGAGAGACAGAGAGAGAGGGGGAAGAACTAGCTCTCCCAGCTGGAATAATAGGTTTGAGATATGAGGAAGTTGATCAACTGCTGATACCTCCCCAAAACAGATTCATCCACCCGGTAGCTTTCCTTTCAGAGCAGGCTGCTGGCTCCGTCCAGTGTCTCTACGGGCCTGAACACAGGACACAGGCCACTGCCATCCTGACCTGGGAGTCACTTTCTGTCACTTGAGAGCGCACCGACTTGAAAACGTTGCCATCTCGCCCCCGTCCTTCTGGGCTGTCTCTGCTGATGCCACCACGGTGGTCCCGGGTGGGACTATTACTGAAAAAGTCTAGGGGACAGAAACTACCCCAGGACACACCCTACAGCAACAGCGGGGTTCTCAGAGAGGCGCCTCGCCCCACCCCAACCGCGGACACTGGCAGTGTCTGGAGACATTGCTGGTTGTGGGGGGGTTGGGGGAGGGAGGAGGGCAGGTGTGGGGAGTCGGCGTCATCACTGCTGGTTGGGGGGGGTTGGGGAGTCGGCGTCATCACTGCTGGTTGGCGGGGGAGTTGGGGAGTCGGCGTCATCACTGCTGGTTGTGGGGGGGGGGAGTCGGCGTCATCACTGCTGGTTGGTGGGGGAGTTGGGGAGTCGGCGTCATCACTG